TATATATATATATAGTTTATTGAAACAATTAAGCATTCATTCATTCATTTTTCCTGTGCAGGTTAGAAAGTGATTGGATGCTCAATTTTTGTTTTCATACATCCACCCCATACTCACATGACCACACAGCAACTTACAGTCTCATTCTTCTTGCTGAAAACCGGCATGGCTACAGTGGTCATGAGCAACAGACTTTGGGCCTGAGAGGCGAAGAGCTGGAAGGAGACAGAGAAATGGAAGCAACAAGTTATCTTTTTGTCACGTGAAGGACAATAGCATCTGATTGGCTTTTCCTACAGAAGTCACAATATTCTATTCACTTGCATTGTGCTTCTGAACTTGCTTGAAAATGTTGGTACTGCTGGAAAAGTATATCCCCCCAGCACAGCCTCCTGCGTGCCTGTCATAGCCCTCTGCTCTTCTGGGAGAGTCTAATTACCATCTGTGCTGACCCATCTCCTCTGCCCCTCCCCACATGACCTTTTATGTAGCTGCCAGCTGCTGGGGCTGCTGACATCACATTGAAGCTGGCGGGGCCCAGCAGCAGTCTCCGGGCTTTTAACTATCAACACAAGGAGACCCTTCTTATCTTATTGGAATATATTTGTTGAAAAAATTGGCATGTTGACAGGGTCTCTTTGAATATGTTCTTCAAAAGCCACAAGAATATAAATCCACTTTGTGCCTCTTCAATCCTAGATATCACATTGTAAAATTAGTGACAGCATCATCACTGGGCTGTACATAACCTGTAAAGAGAGCAGAGCTGTGGAAGGGACTGAGCAGGCCCCACCCACTACAGGCTGCCTGCAAAAATCTACAGGAGGGGGCAGATACAAGACCAGTCACCCTGCACAAGGAGAGAGAGCAGCAGTGGCCGGTCTTTATTACAGTAGGGGGCAGATACAAGACCAGTCACCCTGCACAAGGAGAGAGAGCAGCAGTGAGCGGTCTTTATTACAGGTGGGGGTGGATACAAGAACAGTCACACTGCACAAGGAGAGAGAGCAGCAGTGAGCGGTCTTTATTACAGGAGGGGGTGGATACAAGAACAGTCACCCTGCACAAGGGGAGAGAGCAGCAGTGACCGGTCTTTATTACAGGAGGGGGTGGATACAAGAACAGTCACCCTGCACAAGGAGAGAGAGAAGCAGTGACTGGTCTTTATTACAGGAGGGGGTGGATACAAGACCAGTCACCCTGCACAAGGAGAGAGAGGAGCAGTGACTGGTCTTTATTACAGGAAGTTCCAGCACAAAAGCTTTATGCTGATTACAGCACAGGTATGGAGAAATACACAAAGGACACTAAGATTCCATTAAGAATACACATGACTCTTGTATTCATTGTTTTAGCTTTAACAAAATATGAGGGATATTTAAAACATTCTGCGTTTTGCACACTTTGCAAAGTGGATTTTTCTGTTTACAGGACTATTCGGGACTATATTTATAAACACTTCTTTTTATCTCTTTTTTTTTTTGGAGAGGATTGGTATGTGAGAAGGCGGCAGACGGAACGTTGCTGGGAGCTCAGTAAATGTTGTTGACATGAACCCACAATAAAACCATTTACCAACCTGTTGCCGAGCAGAGCCACAAACGACTTTAATAAGCTCCTGGCAACTATCAGAAACAGCGACGTAACCTTGTTTGTACCATACCCATCCACACTGACCCATCATGTTCTGCTCCTCACTCAGGAATAAATTGTCTTTATTGCAGATGGAAACAAGTCACTGACATCTGCCACAAAGCAGGTGAAGGGGGAAACGCTGGGCATTTCTAGGGCATCGGTCCAGAGGAACAGTGCCAATGTTTGACAAAAACAAATCATAACCCTCTAAGTTAGGGAGAAGTGAAGAAAGAACGCACAAAACAAGGACAGTGAGACGCCAAGGGAGAAACCGAGAGAGAATGCCAAAGACAGCCTAAGAGAGAGAACACACAGGATGGAGGGTAAGCTAGAGAGAGAAAAAAGGAAGAGCAGAAGGAGGAGAGGAGAGAAAGCATAGAGAAGAGAGGAGAGGAAGAAAAAAGCGGGAGGAGAGAAAGAGAAGAAGATAGGAAGAGGAGAGCAAGTGGAGAGTGGAGGAAGAGGAGCAAAAATGCAGAGCAAGATGAGAAAAGAGCAAGAGGAAAGGAAGATGAGAGGAAGATGAGAAAAAGAGCAAGAGGAATGGAAGAATAGAGCAAGAGGAAAGAAGGAGGAGAGCAAGAGGAGAGGAAGGAAGAGCGGAAGACGGGAAAAGAGGAAGATGTGAGGAAGAGGAGAACAAGAGGAGAGGAAGATGAAAAAAGAGCAAGAGGAACTAAAGAGGAGAGCAAGACGAGAAAAGAGGAAGAGGAGAGGAAGGCAAGAAAAGACCAAGAGGAAAGGAAGAGGAGAACAAGAAGAGAGCAAGAGGAGAAGAAGTGAGCAAGAGCAGAGGAAGAGGAGAGGAAGGCAAGAAGGGAGCAAGAGGAAAGAAAAAAGAGAGCAAGAGGAGAGCAAGAGGAGAGGAAGGCGAGAAAAAAAGGAAGAGGAAGACAAGAAAAGAGGAAGATGAAAGGAAGGGGAGAACAGGAGGAGGAGAGGTTGATAAAAAAAGAACAAGAGGAAAGAAATAGGAGAGCAAGAGCAGAGGAAAAAGAGAGCAAGAGCAGAGGAAGAGAAGAGCAAGAGGAGAGGAAGAAGAGAACAAGAGGAAAGGAAGAAGACAGCAAGAGGAGAGAAAGACAGAAAAAGAGCAAGAGGAGAGGAAGACAAGAAAAGAGCAAGAGGAGAGGAAGAGAAGAAAAGAGCAAGAAGAGAGTGAAAAGGAGCGGAATGTAGAGGAAAGGATTGAGGAGAGGAGAAGAAGGAGAGAAAATGCAGTGGAAGTGGCGAGAAGTGCGAGTAAAGAGGAAGAGAAGAGATGAGAAGAACAAGATGAGCGCAAGAGGAAGATGAGTTGAATGGAGGGAAGAGGAGTTAAGAGAACAGAGGTAGAGGAAATAAGAGAATGAGGAGAGGAAGAGGAGAGCAAGGGGAGAGGAAGAGGGGAGGATACACACACATTTGGTGTTAACAGGCCCGAAGAAGAGAGGACGAGGATGGGAAATAGGAGGAGAGAGAGCGGGGAGGAGAAGAAAAGAAAATCAAAAGGATAGAACAGAGAGGAGTAGAGAAAAAAGAAAATAACGTTTCCATTTTGATGTTTTTCCTTTCTCTAGAATATCATTTTTTAATACATTAAACTGTTTCTGTGCGCCAGCAACAGCTCATAAAAACATACAAACTTTGCTACACGTGTTGAGCAGGCAGCATGCGGCACTCATATTGACAAATGATTAATGGCGCATTCCTATCACATCACAACAACCACAGGCAAAAAAGATTTGAGCACACCACAAACAATTTTACAAACAACAAACTACCACCACTGAGACACAACAGGGCCACAAAACTGAAACACCGGTTACCTCATCAGATTGTGGCAGCTGTTTGGACAGACGGATGGAGGAAGGGGTGAGGATGGATGTGAACCGGGGGTGAGAAAATTGGATGAAATATGAATTGAGACACATGAACATGAAAGGTTTAACTATGCACACACAATGTTAGGAGTTTGTGTTATAAAGCAGAACCATCCCAGAGAGTAAAATGGAGCCCTGTGGCTTACTCTATACATAGAAAGAGGACGTCTTGATAGCTCATAATGTATATCAAGCCAAAACCTTTTTTCTTAGTTTTAGATGAAGTGGGGAATCATTTTAACCCCTGTCAGGATATTCCTGATATTTGGGGTTTTGTTAGAGAAATTTACTAGAGGTGCACCAAAATGGAAATTTTAAAACCGAAAACGAAACCAAATAAAAAAATTGTCAGGCCGAAACCGATACCGAAAATGTGTTTTTTATATTTATTTTATTTATTTATTCATTTTTTATTAAATATTTTTATTTTTTACATTACTTTTAGGGGCTTCGGCGAAATATTGGGGGTCTAAACAGACCCCTGATATTTCCCTTTTAAAATAGAAAAAGAGGAAAGCTCAGCCTCCTGTGATAGCGCGGCCTGTCGCCGCCCCCACACCGCTCTGCCGGACTGTGATAGGAGGGTGAGCGGTGTGGGAAAAGATGCCAGCCGCTCACAACGCTCTTGTCCCGCAGCACTCGGCTGGCTGTCACACTTTCTCTCCTCCAAGCTGGGACACAGAGCAGCGCCCAGCGGAGAGGAAAGAAACCTGGGATGCGCAGATGTATCGGCAGGAAAATGTCACTTTCGGCATTATGCCGATATATCGGTGCATCCCTAAAATTTACCATCACTTCCTGTACTGCTGACAACGTTTTACCACAGACAAGGACATCACCTGATCAGAAAGTGTAATACCTAACTGGGATAAGTGAAGTTACATATAACAAACATATACAGAATTATGACATAGGGGTGATATGAGAACAAGAACTGGTCTTAAGGCATGAGCTGCAAAGTCTCCAACAGAAGGAGATTCTTGAAAAAGTATTGTCTTCATTCTAAAAGCCCTTCCAGACTACAAAAAGTAATACAATCTTGTATGGCAGAGATTGAGAACATGTCCCTTTGACTTAATTACACTAATCTGACATACTCTTCACTAATCATATCACCTAAAACTAAATGTTTCATTTTGGCTCCTCCATTTACCTAAAACTGCAGCTAACAAAAATAATAATCTCAATTTCTGTCTAGAAGCGAGAAATCTTTTCAATTTAGAGATGTGAGTGAATATTTCACATAACAATAATGTATTTTTATGTTGACAGGTCCTATAAAGCCTTACTACAACTCCCAGCACTATTTCCCGGATTTGGTTGGTCACTCACCGCGCTGTCCATGTAGGCCTCGGTCCATATAATATCATGGTCGTGGTTTATCACCATAGGCCGGCTCAGCACATGCAGATACTCCATCACGTTTTCCTGGACGTCCGCAAGGGTGGAGATTTGGGTGTAATAACCTGTAGGGTGGATGAGGACTAAATTACAGCATAGAAACGAGACATTATAACCCAGGGGTAGACAACCTCGGCACTCCAGCTGTGGTGAAACTACAAATGTCATTATGCCTCTGCAACTAATACCTGTGGCAGTCAAATCCTTGCAATGCATCACGGGACTTGTAGTTGCACAACAGCTGCCAAACAGAGTGCCAAGGTTGCCGTCCCCTGGTATAAATAGATAGGTTATAGTAAAGAGGGCTTAAAGGGACTACAAAGTCTTCGCTAGACCAGTGCAAAGCACAGTAGATCCTTCTGCGAACAGAAAGTATATGTATGATACTGTACTTAGAATAAAAACAAGAAATACTCATGAAGTATCAATGCCAGAATGTCAGATGCAAGCGTGAAAAGATGTCTAAACTATCCTATCAACAATAAAAATGTTGCATTTAATTTGAATCAAGGGACAGCAACTGAGTGGCCATCATTTCCAACCTAGTATTTAACTTGTGCATGTCACTGCCATCATAGGTGTACTGCTGTGGTTGCCAGTATTCTCAACTTTTTGTTGGCAGCCTGTGGAAGTGCACCCAATTTGTTCTCCCTTTCAAGCAATGTTCCCTCTCTGAACCTACTGGAACCTCACAATCTGCACAAGCATGGGGCTGGGAATGCATAGCACAGGATCATGCACTCTGACCCTAAAGCAATGCAAAAAGCCTGATAATTCTGTCTGCAGCTTACAATTTGGTAAACTGAGTGGACATTTTGACTTAAGCACAACTTTAACTTTCCCCAAACAGCATTAGGGGATCACAGATTGATTACTGGCAGTAGTTCCTTATAGTAAAAAAAACTTTTTGTGACCATAACAATATTGCTCTATTTTGCAGTTATTGTAGCACAAGCCCTTCTTCATAATACCATAATTTGATTTAAAGTCAAATAAGACCCTTCCCTTACAAGCTACAACACTTGTCCTGCCTCTTTAAATTCACAAAAGAAAGAAGGCTTTATATATTTCTTTGGCAACAGAATCATTGCTCTGGGATTACACCACAATTGGTCACATAAGCAAATGCTGACCTGTTGATTGCATGATCCCTGCTAACCAACAGGATCAGAGCTCAAGCAGAGCTACGGATTGACTGATGCTCCATTCCATGAGAGATTAAGTGACCGATGTCTCAGCATTTAGTCAAGTGACAAGCTTTCTTGGTTTCCTGTACAGCCAGGGAATTTGATAAAGTCTATTTTTGGACTATACATGAGCAAAGTTAATAAAGAAGAGTGGACTTTATTTTTACTTTAGGGAACACACAAAGTGTTAATATCTAATACCTTTATTGCTACACGCAATCCATTTCACATTCTGTGCAAATGTCACCTCTCTCCCAATGAGATAAGTGAACATCCGGACCTGGAATAAATAAAAGTTATTACAACTGATAGAAAAAGTTTCAGTATAATAATAATAGTAATAATAATAGAGGAAAGGGCTGAAAAAGCTAAAAACTAAACAATGACTAATGTTGAACCATCGTTTTCTGGTTTATTTTGCCAGAATATATTTCTTAGTTTTGGGTACCGCAATGGGCTCGCACAACATCCCATAAAAATTTCAGTGCACTGGCTCTTGTCGAACAATTTGTTATGCCAATCTCCTGTATTGCAGCAGTCATTTGAGAGTACAATAAATGGATAGGATCAGATATATCAAATAATGGTTCTCACCCTCTTCTCAGGCCAATTGTATTTCTCAAAAACCGGCTCATATTCTTCCACAGCTCCATCTGTTATAAGCATGATTGCCTGATTACACAGACCTCCCTGACCGGCTTCTCGGAACTGGAAACACAAAAGTGCGGGAAAGTCAACACAAATGTAAAATAGACTAAGATCTGTTCATGACAATATAAAGGAGACCTTGAACATAAACATGATCTCCATGGGAAGTTAATTTTAGACCCCTGCTGCTGCCTTCTTTTTATAAAGAGCTGGAATGGATAATGCTATCATTCAATGGCCACCCAAGCATACATATGTAAATCACTGCAAACACTGCCCCTGCCCAAACTGCACGTAGTCCGATTTGGGTATCAGTAAGGATTGTTAAATCTACTGCTTATGTATGGAAGCCTTACAAAGAATTCAGATTGTTAAAGGCTGCTCAGAATCCTTCCAACAAACACGGTTTAACTGGGAGCAATATACCTTTTCCAGTGAATATACCTCAGCCGCAGAATGCTTTATCCATTGGGATCATATAATGACGGGCCCACTCCTAGTAGTAGTCCCTTCCTTAGAAAAGGGAGCAATGGTCAGCATGCCCTTTTCCGCACATATATTTAGTTACCCTTCCAGTGGGCTTTAGTGAATTCTGCCCTATTCACCCAGATCAGCCATTCCTCACTACCCCACACCCAAACAATTGTTTTTGATGTTTCTTGTATGCCTTCAACGTATGCTCATACCAACATTTCTGCTAGGGGATATACACTTATATATTTTATCTCTTCTCGCAGGAAACACCTACTACACAGCAGAAGTGGAGGGTGGATAAAGGAAAGGATAAGACAGTAGCCGAGGCCCACTATATGCAGTCCACCCAATAACCGTCTGTTATTATTTTATATACATAGTTGCATAGTAACATAGTATTTGAGGTTGAATAAAGACCGAGGTCCATCAAGTTCAAACCATTGCATGTATGCATGTGACTCTGCATGTTTATGCGTGTGTATGAGTCCCTGTGTGTTCTTGTTATTAAGAGTACCTTTACCCCTGAATGTTACGGTCTCTGAGGAAATCGTCCAAGTGGTTTTTGAAAGATTCAATACTCTCAGCTGAAATCACTGCATGTGGCAGCGAGTTCCAGACCCTAACTGCTCTAACTGTGAAGAAGCCCCATTCGCCCCTTGTGCTGAAATCTTTTCTCCACCAGTTTTAGGTTTGATCTGGTTACTATGCCCTTCATTAACTTTAGGGTGCAACTCTTTTATTCCTATTGGGCTCACACTCCTCTACCTGTGACATAGTGAGTACTACCTCTGTGTTGTTTGTTAGAATATTATATTTTTCTGTTATGTTGTATAAGTCTTGTGGAATATAAATAAAGATTTTTAAAAATTCAGATTGACTTAGTAATGAACATACAAAGTGCAGTAGTCCAGTTACAGGTCATTTCCCTTCTGCCAGCACTTTAGCACTTCACTATAGCCCATAAACCACAAATATTCAGCAGTTATTTGCAGTTACTTTTCCTAATCTGTAAAGCTGCTTCTGAATATTTGTTTAGTTTGCATCCGCTACGTTTATTACTGAAATGCACGCCGAGGTAATTAATCTCAAAATTGCATGGAAAACATAAAGAAAATTAAAATCTTTATTGTCAAAGGATTTGTAATTCTGTTCAGACAGACAGATGATCAGACACAGCACAGCTAGATTGGCGATCTTAAATTTTTCCACTGTACTTCAGCAATATCACTGAATATCGCTATTGCGATCTCCTTCTGTCACCAAGCTATCAGTGTTAGATCCACAGCACTGTGCAATGTAGTATATTCTGACTGGCTTAAGGTGCCCATACACCTTACGATTATCGGACGATTTTCGTATGCGATCGACTTTTCGTCCGTTAATCGTATGTGTGCATTGCAGTGTCCGACCGACATTACTGTACAGTCGTACGACTTTTGACGGTCAAGCATGTTTGAAAACTTTGCTAGATCGTACGATTTTCGTAAGGTTGCCGGTGTTTCCGTCCGTCAAAAGTCATCCGATCTACACTGCGCTTGCGCTAATGAAAATACAGCAAATCAATTACCGCATTTCGTCCAGGTGCTTTTCGTTAATTACGGCTAAATTAATCTTGCGATCATCGGGGCAGGATGGGGCTGCCGTACGAAAATCGTACGACTATTCGATCATCGGACGAAAAGTTTCGTCCGATAATCGTAAGGTGTATGGGCACCTTTACAATGCTAACCCTCCAACTCCAGGTCTGAGTTCACCTGCCCAAGGGATCGATAGATAAGCCAATAGAAAGTCAGGTTTAGGGTAAACAGGCTGCATCATTTTTATTTTAATGAATACATAGCTGGATAAAATAGTGGTCTAATGTAGATACCTGAAGTTTATCTCCAAGAGCACAATAAAAAAAAAAAACCACCAAAGTTGGCAAACAATAACAATTAGTGTAGCCAGGCAACTTATGAAGCAAATGTTACCTAACCTCTTTCAGGATTTTAAATGCCTCGATGAGAGCTTTGTTTACAGTGCCAACTCCTTTCGCCTGCAGTTCATCCACTAGCTGCTTGAAATGCTGAAAGGAAGGGAAAAGAAGCAGAAGAAAGAAGGAAGGAAGAAAGGAAAGAAAAGGAGGAGCGGTTAACCTTATTCATACTGGAATATTCAATATTCAGCAGCAGTCCAAAGAAGAAGAGTTTAAGCAAAATTTGGGAGATTTTGTGGAAAAGAAAGCTCTCAATTTTTCCCATTACTAGTTAAAGCAGTTTATTAGAGCTCAGTGGTAGTGATGGATGAATCTGCCAGGGATTGATTTACTAAGGGTTTGGTGAACCTTGTTCAACTTCTGCGAGCACAAACTTAAAGGTGAATCCCAATGAAGTCTAGAGGGAGTGACTCTCGTTATATACTGACAATGTTTAGGGCTAATGGGCACACTGCAGTCAAAAAAGTAATAGAAAGCTGGGCACTGCCATGGGGGACAAAAAAAAAAAGTACAGGCTGAGGATTTAGTACAAGATACTGCAGAGGCTACAGCAGTATAAAATTAGTCAGCAGCAGCATGATTTTAATCAAGGATAATAGGCCTAACTGGTGTATGCCTAACTTTTATTTTATCTATGGGGATGGGGGGTGCAGTGAATGTGAGTAATAGAATGTGGGGCAATTTAGGTAAACACTTGTTCTTGCACTTTTTTTTTTTAAATGTATTGGTGTGCTGCGAACAAGTGCTTTGAGCACCCCCAAATTTTTTTTTTAAATGCCTGATCAACATAAAATAAAAAATAAAAAATCCCACAAAATCAATAAATACTACAACCCCAAAACAAAAGCCCTCCCTTTTCTTAAAGGGAAGCTTGGCTGCAGCACAAAAAAACCAAAACAGTAACCTAAAATAAAAGCTCTATCATCATAAACTAAAAGCCAATATCCCCGCTAACTAAATGAAAACCCCAAAATACCACTCCTTGAAACAAAAGCTCATTTATTCTACTATGGAAGGGACAGAAGCTAAAATTAAATCAACGACAAAATATAATGGAAAAAAAAGTCCCCAATAGTAAGAAAAAGAGGCAAAGAAGGGATTGATTGCCTCAGCAATAATCCTGTCCTGCATCCAGGGACAATCATCTATTCCAAACCGCAGGTAATCCTACCATGTACAATTACATACGGACTGCCACTAACAGATGCAGCCGCTGTCACCCTGTCATTAACTTCAATATGTACAGCGAGTGGATCTGAACAGGGACTCCTGGGATTCCTGCTGCTATTGGAAGATGTAGTTCTGGAGCTGTGCCTTTATCAACAGGAACTAAGTTCTCAGTAGCTGCACCCACAAAAATAATGCTGAGGCACCATCTAGAGGTGGGGAGGGATGTTTGGGAGTAACATGGGGTGAAGCTTGGGAACACCATTTAGTACACTAAAAAACCAACACTCCTATATACCCCCCGTGTATATTCCCTATCATGTTAGCACAACAGACAGGGAAAATTCTCACTGCAGTCTCTGCAGCATCTTGGAAGGGAGTAGGACAATTCCAGATGATCTGAATATAAACGACATCCTCCTGTAGCTGAAATTTGTGCTGGAGCCAAAAAATAAAACCCCCATAGCAACAGGCAGAAAATAACTCCAATGACAGTTTCAGATCTTCCTGGCTGCCACTTCCTGACTCAAATCACAATCTCGGCCTGTGCCAAGTACAGCTAATCAGCATCTCTTCCTACAGCACCAGGCTCTATGCTAGGAGGACCGTCTGCATGGAGTATGCACACTTTCCCTGTATGTGTGGGATTCCTCCAGGTGTTCCAGTTTCCTCCCACAACCCAAATATATCTTGGTAGCTTAAAGGAAACCCGTCATAGTAAAAACACGTAGCTGCAGTTGCTAACCTGCTTCTGAAGTATGTGCCCTGCCAACAGAACGTAGAACTGGCTCCACAGTGTGTAACTGTGGTGAGGACATTAGAGTGTAAGCTCAGAGACTGATGTCAGAAACACATTGATAATAATACAGATAGAATGACCAGTACAAAACTCACCTCCCTGTTATCTCTGTCGGCCTGTACTAAGATACCCTTAAAACACGGCTCAATAAAATGGACGTAATCATTGTACTGGAAGACAAAACCAGAAAAAGGCCAATTACATTAGACCTGAAATTAGAGCATAACAAAAAATATATAAAAAATAAATAATTTAACACTTTTTTTATCACTTCCATTAGCCCTACCTTTCCAGAGCCTGCAGACTTCGTGCCTCTGCCCCACCTTTTGCTCACTCTTTAGGTTTACTATTGGATATCACCCTACAGGACAGACACTTCCCACTGTGGATTCTCTCCATCCTATGAGCCCAACAAAGTGCTTCCCCTCCCTACCAAAAAAAAGCATACACTCCCAAAGCAAGCCTAATTTCAGCTTTCAGTTGGTGTGTGAGGAATTTGCAGGTAAAAGGAGAATATAGAGTCGGTCACTTATGACCTCTTTCTGAAAATGCTAGTTGGCCGTTTCTGGAGTGAATATTATGAGATATTGAACGGGACAAGCATGAAGATCAGGAAAGTCGGAGTGAAGTCACAACTTGTAATGTACATACATGTGCCTTGTCAGTGGCCTGAACTGCTAAAGCCATTAGATAAGCATGAAAGCCAGGGGACTAGCATTTTCAGAAGTTGTTAATGGTAGTCTGCCTATTTCCCTCAGTACTGGTTTGCTTAATGATAGCAGTGAAGACTGACTGCAATGATGTTGACAAAGTCATTCTCGCCCAGTGTGTCCAGAATTGTGTTGATTGTGTGTTTGGCAATGGTCATCCTCAGTCCCTTCATGCTGCCACTGATGTCCACCACGATCACGATGTCCTTCGGAGATGTGGCGGCCTGAATGTACCTGGAAGTCAGCAGGAACAAAGAGAAAAATTAGAGGATTGCAGTTACAAGTGCATAACTCTCAAGTCTCACAATGCTTCAATGCAAGCTAAAAGTTCTGTGCTTGATTTAGAACTCAGATCTCATCTATGACGTCTCAGCGTGTCTCAGGTCAATACAGCCCATATTCCAGGAGAGTACCTAAAACATCCGAATTTTCAAGTCAAACCACAATAGGCTAGGAAAAGGGTTAGCAGAGGTCATGGCTGTAACAAGGTCCCTGTTCCTGGAGTGCTTATAGGGTCTACCATATCCAGCCAAGAAGGCTGGAAAACTTAGCAGGACCACACAGGGATCCATATACACACACACACACACACATCCACAATCACATACAGAAACACAAAGGTTGGACTTGATGAACCAGTGTCTTTATTCAACCTCAAATACTATGTAACTATGTAACTACATGTGACCTAAAGGGGTTTTTATTTCAATGTATTTATGTCATGGTGCCTTGGTGGGGTTGCAGGATTGTTGAAGGTGTGCTGATAGCCAAGAGGCATGTAAAAGAATGACAATGCAGGACCACAACTGTGTGACAGTTGTCACCTTACACTATAGGAAGAGCCTGAACAAGAACCTCTATGTCATGATCACCAGGTGCTAAAGCTGCAGAAAACTACTTTGGAAATGACATGGTTATATGTCATATTATTATTATTATACAGGATTTATAAAGCGCCAACACTTTTGCGTAGTGCTTTACAAAATGGAGGGATATAGTGCAAATACAATAACATTTTAATACAGGAGGGTTAGGAGAGTCCTGCTTGTTAGAGCTTACAATCTAGTAATGTGTATAAAAGAAAGAAAAAAAGACTAAAGATAAAAGATAAATAACCTGCATCCCCAGAACAATAAAATCAGTAGTTGATCCAGAGGAAGGCAAATTGCCTTTGGGGGATTCTGTCTGATCCCCAAAGGCAATCAGATACTCCATGGATCAACAATATACAGTGTTATGTCCTATAAATATGAATTGCCGGTCAACATTAATATGTTACAGCTAATTGGGTTGGGTTTAGATCGAGAAATGTGAAAGGGCACTTTTTATTATACGGTTAAGAGTTAGGTGTTAGGGTCAGGTTACGTTTCACAATGGTTAATTTTAGGGGTTTGGTTAAGTGTTAAGGGCCGGCTGAGGGTTAAAGTTTAGGTTCAAGGAGCTATGGGTAGGACAGAGAGAAGCTTGTTCAATTTTAACTTTAAGCCCCATGCTTTATATTTCAAGCAGCAAGCTGTCGGCATCGCACGTGTAATCTAGGGAGAATCCTCACCATCCACGGTTCCTACAATCAAACGAGATGACACCGTTCTCATCTGGCATCCATTTTATGCCTAGGAGACAAACAACAACAAAAAAAGGTCACATGATAAACTAGGGTGGCTGACAAGATCTGGGTTTTTGAGGGCAGGTTTCCCAACAGGAATCTAAAATGAGCAGAAGAATTTATTTGCTCCATACTTAATACGCCCAAACTGTAGATTTATAAGGACATTTACCCGGATAGAGCCGGAAGAACCCCGTGGAGCTGCCGAAATATTGCCAGGTCAACGTGGGGTCCCTCTGAAAGTTCTCCACGAAGACAGGATTCAGGGCTTCGGACATGTACACGCCATTGAGAATATCTGGATCTGCAAAGATTCATTCAGTCAAGTAAGAATCAAAGTACAGGTGTTTAATGATCAGCAAGTGTATATTATAAGTTGGTGGACATAAAAGATGTATAATAATCACAGATGCCATCATACTTCCTCCTATGTGACCATGTCAAGGCCTGCTGATAGGTTGTGGGCTTGGCCCTGTTAGATGGGGACAGAGGGCGAGGATATGCTCCACTAAGCAGCAGGAAAGAGACATCCAAGAAGCTCACAAGTCTGCTTTATAGCAAAACCATTACAATTTGCCAGTTTTATATTCATTGCTTTTTCCAAGTTTAAATGTTTTTAAACTGTTATTTTGTAGTATTATTTCTGTCTATACAATGTCTGTCTTACAAATAAACATTTAACGCACGAAAAAGGGCTCCCAGTGAACTATGGGTAAGCTAGAGAAAGCAGGGCAGCTTGCTTTGCAGCTCTCTTTGTCTAACTGAAACTTTGGAATGAGCCGTCTCGTAAGGGTGGAGCCATTGCTGCGATGACTCGTCTGTAACGAACTTTCAGCAAGACTCAATGAACAGAACTACAAATACATTAGTAGATGGGGCAGTTCACTTTTAAACATTTATTTGGGAATTTAGCGCTTTAACCAGAGTTACCTTCCTCTGAAGCTTGGGTGACTTTATTGTAAAGTAGTTAGTCATACATCTGATGCAGCCAATCACAAGTCAGTTCTGTCAACTATACCATGAAAAAATGGAGACAACTGACACCTGTTTCAAGAGTTATCTTATCTGGATAGGGCAACCATATAGGAAACATCTTATGTTCCTTCGCCTCTCAAAAAGAAGGAGCCATTGAAAAAACAAACATCTGCATCCTCAGTCCCTGCAGGGCCCCAGAGCTCACCTTTGTTGTACACGTTAGTAGGCAGCTGAATGTTGCTGAGTGTTGTGTTCACCATCAGATTATTAAAGTGCTCGTTAGTCTCCAGAATGAATTCGTTCCCCAGATCCACATAATTACCATCTTCATCCACTTCGTTAATCCTCACCGAATTGTAATACTCAAACTGCAGAGAAGATACAGATGTATAGACGCATAAATAATAGGAGATGTCTACAAAATTGATGGGGGAGCCCCTCTTAGATAGTTGTCAACAGAACATAGCCGGTGCAGACAACAGAGCCGTGGGAGGGACCCAGCAAGGCTCCACCCACTACAGGCTGCATGCAGAAAAATACAGGAGGGGCGGGTCAAAGACCAGTCACCCTGCACAAGGAGAGAAAGCAGCAGTGACCGGTCTTTTCACAGGAAGCTCCTGCACAGAGGGAACATTTCACACTGCATTACTGCACAAATCTGGAACAAAAATTCAAGTAAGAACACACAACGTTTTTATTAAGACAGCACTGGCTTATCCCGGAGTTCAGCTTTAACCTGTAACAACCATCCTAACTATTCAAAAATAGCCCATTACTTCACTCTTAGCACAATGTATCCCTAAGGGCCTGTTCACATAATATTAGGTCCTGATCAGGTCCTGATCTGCAGACGCGGTGCTACTGATGCAGTGCGTTTTTGCCACGTGTTGGCGGCGTTTTTGATGCGTTCCAGGTTAAAAAAAAGAGTGGGGCTGTCAGTATGTTAGCTGCAGTGCAGTGCGTTTTTGACGCGTTTTGCGTTTCCGGTCTGTTTCCTGACCGCACAAAATGTGACATGCAGTATTTTTCTGTCATAACCTGAACGGACTGACTGCGCACGTGAGAACGGTAGCCCATAAAAAACATAGGGATACATTGGGATGCATTTTTAGTGCAGGAGCGTACGGATCAGGTCAGCTATTTTTTTAACCACTTAGAGGCCCCCTTCCTGTCCAGGCCATTTTTCAGTATTCAGCGCAGAGCTACGTTGGCATTTAATCAATCATGCAACGCTGTACTGAAATTAATTTTATATCATTTTTTGGGGGACGCAGAGCTTTCTTCTGGTGGTGTTTAATTACCACTGGGTTTTTTTTTATTTTTTACTACATAATCAAAAAAGTACCAAAAATTTTGAAAAAAACAAAAATGTTTTCCCTACGTTATGTTATAAAACATTTATCATTACCGTGACTTTCATTTTTTTAAAAAACTTTATTGGTTTTTTTTTTACACTTTAACTTTATTGATTTCACATAAGGGGTTAAGAATCCCCCTATGTGACAGCTAATATACAGTGACTGGTCCTCTTTATGGAGACATCAGGGAACTCTAAGATCCCTAATGTCACCTAGGGACCCCCAAAGAAGCTGATGAAGCAGAGATCTGCTTCACCAGCTTCTTCTCTGGCTATAGCAGCCAGAGAAATGACAGCTGCAGGTGGAAGTGATGAAATACACATTACTTCCGCTATCAGAGATTGGAAGTAGGAGAATGCTGATCTCTCCTCCATTTACAGTGTGAGCAGCCAGTGAGCCGGTCATGGGCCCACATTGGGGACAGCGGAGCCCAGGATAACTGGCAGTGGAGGGGGGATCTTGCAGCGGAGGGGGGCCCGCATGCTGTATGACACCTTACAAGCTGTAGACCAGCCGGAATGCTTGTATGGTACAGCCGATACCGGCTGTTTACATCTTGGATTGTTTACAACTGTGGGATTCTAGGGGCGCACACGATTAGAAAAAAAGAGACGTACATTCACGTCCACCCGCTGATAGGACAAACATACAGAGGGGGTTTTCTCTAATTTGACTGCAAAAGTGGAAAAACACTTTAAGCAAGTTTAAAAGCACACTGGTTAATACTCAATAGGTTTGCTTTATGAAATATAAATAAGAATAAGTTGTTAAATGCAGAAAATAATTGTTGTGAATTTAGGTAAAACACCCTGCGCTGGCTGGAAATAAGTTAATATTTTAAAAAGATCGAAGAATAGGAGTATCACAACAATGGCTACTATTCTATGCATGATACTACACAAACGCACAAAACATTGATGTATAAACACTACATTGCACTTCAGATATAACATACGTGTTCATAATACGTGTTCATACGCTGGTAGAATGTTATCCTTACCTCCATAGATTCATTAAACTCGTGATTTAAATCGGCATCCTCTTTTTTTGTTAGAGGGAATACATAGTATATCAAAAACTTCAGCAAACTTCAGTGTTAGTTTGCGGGCTCATTCACACTGGATCCGCTGCAATTTGTTGCGTTGTGATGCGTTTAGCAACCATTGAAAATTCGGTCTAGTGTGAAGGGGCCCTAAAAAATTTTTGTTCCTGTAGTTAAAAAGTTAAAAAGCATAGATATTGTTTTATTAAAATGTCCTCTTTAAAAATGACACTAGAATTATGATTATAGTACGAAGCATTTCAAAGTTATTTATAACTATAAAGTTATTTAATATATTTACTTATAAATATAAAGTTAATAACTTTTTTTTGAGGGACACAGCTTTAAAAAACAAAAAAGATTAAAAAACAAAAAAAGAATATAAAATATATAATTGCTGCAAAAGCCATTTTGTATTTTAAAGTTATTAAAAATGACGTTTCCATTTAAAACGGCAGCCGCTGTAATTTCTAAAACTGTTAAAAAATGTAATGGAATATGGTGACCTAGAGGTGTTCTGTACACAGTTGGGGTACAGAAAGTCCCAGAAATGTCACTTCCTGCTTCTGCGATTGGCTGACTGATTTTTACAGAAGTCTGCACTATGATACTAAATTTTTAGCCATCCCTTGGAATAGGAATTTCACTTCCTAAGGGTTAATGACTACTAAATGGATGCCGACACTGCACTTTTTCTCCTTACAACACAGAAAGTCCACCAGCTGGTTATAATGAATCCAGACCCTCCCATTCATGAATCAGATGGGAAAGGAGATACTGGAACAAACAGCTGTTCCTTCAGAAAAGAAAAAGGTAAGGACATGCAAAAATGTTTGTTAAAATCCTTGCAATGTACATTGATCAGCCAAAGGGGATTTATGTTTTCTATACAAAAGTGGAGTTGCTCTTTACAAAACACATAAAAAAAAAATTTCAATAGTTAGCAAAATATAAATAGTAAAAAAACAGCATAATATTTAAAAGAAAAAGAGGAAGAAGGAGTAAGGGCCGGTGCACACCTAGGCGACACCGCGCGTCAATCGTGCATGATTCTGCACGGTCTGCCGCTTGGTCAGTCGCGCCGGGCAGATCGCATGGTTTTCTGCCCTTGCGTCTGAACCCTAAAAACAGCCGCGCGTCGTGTATTGCCGGAAAAAAAGAACTAGTACACCTGGGAGACTCCTGACCGCGCAGCAAACCGCGCGGAATCGATTCGCCTAGGTGTGCACCGGCCCTTAAGGTAAACTAAGGGTTAATAGGAACAACTATTAAAAACAATTGTTTTTCTTTTTTTTGCTTGTCAGGTTCCTTACTTCCTGTCTGCGTAAAACATGTCAGCAGGACAGGAAGTAAAAGAAAATCTCTTTATCCGGACCCCAGACAGCAGTAAGAACCAAACCTACGGGAACAGAACAAGAACATTTATGAAGTACGAACACACGGATTATAAAGCTGAAAACTTTGACATGTCAGGGCCACACGCTGAGGTCTATATAAAATATAGGAGTGCCGTTACCTCCACAGCTTCCACCTTCCTCCGCAGCATGCTCTCCATCTCTTCCGAAAACTTCTTCACCAGCTCCAGCCCGTCCACCTCCTCAATGCTCAGAGTGGGTTCTACATCTTTGTATTTCTAGCAGAGAGGAGACTCGGTCACACCCAGTACAGCTCAGCCTAACCGGACACATTGTAATGCAGACTGTGCTGTGTTCCTTACAACAAAAAGAAGTAAACTGGGCCGAGGATCAGATGACTTTCATATCAAGTGTTGTCTATGGCCAAGAGTTTGTAGGCCCCTGACCATGACTCCTAGGATGGACATCCCATTTCAAGACCATGGCCATTAATATGCAGTCGCCCCCATCACATACACACTTCTAGGAAGGCTTTCCATAAGATTTTGGAATTTGTGGTCATTTGTGAGGTCAAGTACTGATCTTGGATGAGAAGATCTGGCTCACCATTAGTTCCAATTCATCCCAAAGGTGTTCAGTAGGGTTGAGGTCAGGGCCCTGTGAAGGACACTGAAGTTCCCCAACACCAAACTGGTCCCACCATGCCTCTACAGGGCTGGCTTTGTACACAGGGGCACAGTCATGGTAGAACAGAAAAGGGTCTTCACCAAACTCTTCTTACGAGGTTGGAAGAGCACAATTGTCTAAAATGTTTTTGTTTTTTTGCTGTAGTATTACCAGCACACTTCACTGAAGGCACCTGAACTCAATCATTTGAATATTATCTACATCCAGTATCCACATACTTTTGGCGTTTATAGTGTCCATGCCTACCCCGTAATGTACAAGCGTAACACTTAAGGGTATTTATTACTTCTCACAGAGATCACAGCACTCCCACTGACAATGCTACTATCTGTTTTTATCACCAAAAGGACGGCACCATCTTTGTTCAGCTATCATCCAGGGTCACCATCTACTTCCTGGACCCAGATGTTGGCTCAGAGAAAGAAAGTGACAGCAGAACTGGAAACTGAGTGACGGGTCCACTTTAAGTATTTTGCTGGCACCATTTAAATGACATTGTGGCCCAGCTCCCCCTCCCCCATCAATACTATTACGAGGTTTCTGTATTTTGTAATTGGATTCAGTGGAATTATTAGAGTCTGATTAGATTGTAGAGTCAGGTGTGGATACAATGTGGATAGTCTGTGCTGCCAAGGTGGGAAATACATGCAGGAAGAAGAAGAAATCAAAATGAACTGTTGGAAATCATCTTACAGACAAGAGGGGAATTATACCGTTGCCTTGTCTTTTCCAGCTGAGATCTCCACATACAATGCAACAATTCTGTCGTATTTATTCTATGATTTCCTCCAGAAGAGAGACTCGAGTGACAGTGTTTAGTGTGTTACAGAAAATAAAACCCGTGTGATAACAAAACCAACTGTCAATCTGCAGCAGCTGAAGTACTGAGGAACGCTGCCTCTTCATCGGGACACTGTGTGTTATCAAGCGGCAGCATGCAGCCTCGAAACGCGTTACACTGCTTGAAATTGCCTCTGCCAAAGACACTTCCTGCTCCGCGTGGCTGTCGGAGAGTCTACTCACAGTGAATCCTTTCTTTCACCAGGACTGCGGAGTGTGTCATCCAACACTGCTCACACAGAGACCAGAGCGCCAGCCAGCAGATAAATGAATGGACCCAGTCACCAGATCATTCATTTCAACAAAAATCTTCCCATAAGATGCTCTTTAGTGTATTTTATTTACCTGCAGTGGCGTCAGAAGAGGGGTGCGGCCCGAACCCGGTTGACACCATTGGAGAGGTGGCACCAAAATGACTGACAATCATTTTGGTGTCACCCCCCTCTGAAAAGTCGGGCACTCGGTCATGGACCGAGAGCCCGACCGTTACAGGAGAGAGGAGGGGACCCGGCGGCATACCTTTTCCCACCGGGTGACTGTCCCCTCCTCTCTCTGCCGGCGTCCATCACCAAGATGGTCGCCGGCAGAAATGAATAAGATCACCGCGCATGCGCGATGATGTCATCACGCACACAGGTGGTGACGTCACGCGCATGCACGATAACGTCACGGCGGGATGTCACCTGGTAACTGCTCCGGGAGACACCTGGGCTTTTGTACATTGCACCTTAGAAGTCCTTAGATGTAGTGGCTGCATTTGTGGGGGAGTTGGCGGTGGTTCACATTACCAGGGGGTGCGGGTGGTTTACCGGGGGGGTTCTAGCTGGAGGTGCATGGTACCTGTTCCGGCATCCCGCTCAGCTCACGGACATCACTGGCTGCCAGGAGCAGGGTGGGACGCCTGCCAGAGCATCACAGGTTACTAAGAGATCTTAGCAATGTGGGACACTTTGGACGGAAAGGACCTGCCCCCATCACCCCAAGAGATGCCGTCTGAGGCACCCGTTTCAGGCTGCTTCATTATAGGAACAACCCCAGTGGCAATGCTTACTCACTGTACTGCGTCTATGGACAAGGCTGCTCTCCTGATTTGGACTACAAACACCTTCTCCTCTCCTCATCGCCATTACCTAAGGAAGATGTGTTTTGTAGTTTGCAGAAGGCAGATGGAAAAGTTGATAGCATTGTTTCAGATATCACTTCAGTGCACAGGAAGTGACAATGACGCTAGATTTCTGCCAACATCAGCAGGTATTTTTCTGTACTTGCAGAAAATGTTCTTAGCCTGAAAAAAGAAAACGAATGCAGCCACCACATTTATTGACTGGTGGGCTGCAATATAGGACATGTCTGTTCTTGTGTTTAGATATCCTCGATGTTGAACTTTGCTTTAAGTCACCTGAAATTCCCATCAGTCTCTTCTAAAACTGAACAGTAGGTTGTGTGTGATGAGGGGCATGTGGAGGAATATTCGGGGTTAATCCTGCTTTGTACGCGGTTCTCCTGGCCGTTGCAGATCTAATTCAAATGACTTTCCTGCTGCCCCCGTCGCTCTCTGTGCCTCTCTCCCTCAGCGATACACTTTATATTAAGCACAATAAAAGAGCGGTCAGGTGACCAGAGTGAAGGCAGCAGCAGCAGCATCATGAGAGGCAGCGAGTTTCCTGGCCGCGCAGCGGGGGATTATGGGATGACACCCGGCAGACGTTGCAGTCACCGCCTGTAGATTATACAATTTGCTGGTGACCTCTTAATCCCCTTACAATAGAGAGACGCGGGCCGACCCTCCCCACGTCTGAAATGGAGGGCCGCCTTAACCCCTGCACCACCAGACACCACTGACAGATGGGAGTTTATAAACTGGGATTCATAGTTAGAGTCAGACTCTGGTTGGCAGGACATGCTGATGTCAAATGCTCACTGAGCACATCACTGATAAAGCATTTCTAGTGACTGGCACTGCCAGCGATTCAATTCTGAGATCTGTGTGTGTGGTCAGGACCCCTATTTTTGTCCTCACCGAGCAGGTCTGAAAAAGCAAAAGAGAACAATTCCTTGATTTCGGAAATCTATCTCTGATCCATGGTGCAGCATCAGCTTTCTGTTCTCTGTTCATGCACAAGCTGTGCCTGGGAGGAAGGAAGGGCCCATTAAAGCCCAGAGGAAATCTCACACCTTTTCTATTTTATATTCCTTGTCCAATTTGTGCTTTATGCTTGGAAATGCTTATAATTTTGCACCTCACACTGCAGAGCTCTCTCTTGGCAGAGCTAAGAAGTGGCCACACCCTAGAGTAGCATAGGGGGCGTGTCCGAACATGTCCATTACTGAGTGTTGATTAATGAGGGCACTGGGTCTAAAGGTGGCCATACACTCTACAACCATCGCAAGACTTTAGTCTTGCGATGGTTGTAAAGGGATTAAAAAAACGTACGATCTGCCTATCTTGGACAGGCAGATCGCACTCTCGATCATCGCAAGCCCGCCCTCCTGAGGGGCGGGCTTCCGATGACCGCAATGCTGAACGGGCAGTGTGCGCGTCCATCCTAGACACTAACCTTATAGAGCTGCTCTGTGTAATAAACAATATAGTAACATATACATCCTAAAAAATAAACAACCAAAAAGAATGATGTATCCTACATGCGGCTTTGGCCTGCTTGATGACAGGTCCTCTTTTCTCTCTTATGTGTCAGTTACTTGCTTGTACCCGGCACGTGTCTGTCAGAATAATCCCAGCACTTGCCTTAATCCTTCCTGGCTAGCTGTCCCCGCAGAGGTCCTATGACCTGCTTAATGCCGCGACATGTGACCAGCGCAGACTGGCAAGCCTGCAGCACAGACTAAGCGTGGATCCAGTACAGCGCGGGCCTCTGAAATGGGAAAGGAACAGCCAGCAAGGCAAAGAAACAAATTTAATAGCTGGCAAGCACAGGGTTCTGCCTACAAAGGGAACCTGTACCCTGTAAAACAACACATGGGGGGGGGGACTGACCTCTCAAAGGAGAATATATATATATATACAAACTATATTGGGAAAAGTATTGGGACACCCCTCCAAATCACTGGATTCAGGTGTTCCAATCACCTCCATGACCACAGGTGTATCAAATCAAGCACCTCGGCATGCACACGCTTCTACAAACATTTGTGAAAGAATGGGTCGCTCTCAGGAGTTCAGTGACTACAAGCGTGGTACCGTGATAGGTTGCCACCTGTGCAATAAGTCCATTCCTTACTACTAAATATTCCACGGTCACCTGTTAGTGGTATTATAACAAAGTGGAAGCAACTGCGAACAACATCAACTCAGCCAGGAAGTACTAGGCCACGTAAAATGACAGATCAGGGTCAGTGCGCGATGAAGCGCACAGTGCGCAGAAGTCACCAACTGTCTGCAGAGTCAATATCTACAGACCTCCAAACTTCATGTGGCCTTCAGATTGGCACAACAACAGTGTGTAGAGAGCTTCATAGAATGGGTTTCCATGGCCGAGCAGCTGCACCCAAGTCTTACATCACCAAGTGCAATGCAAAGCGTGGGACTGCCACTGGACTCTAGAGAAGTGGAGACGTGTTCTCTGGAGTGACGAATCACGCTTCTCTGTCTGGCAATCCGATGGATGTGTCTGGGTTTGGCGGTTGCCAGGAGAACGGTACTTGCCTGACTGCATTGTGCCAAGTGTAAAGTTTGGTAAGGGGGGGGATTATGGTGTGGGGTTGTTTTTCAGGGGTTGGGCTTGGCCCCTTAGTTCCAGTGAAGGGAACTCAGGATTTACATGATTGACATTTTTAGGAAATGCCATGCGAGTACCTTTTGTAGCAGGAGGGAGCCGGAGAATTTGGTGACGATGGAGTACATCTGGTTGCCTATGGTGTCCGCCCAGACCTTCACCCTGCAAGAGAAGGCAGAAGAAAGGGGAGGGGGTCAGTGTCTGTGTGTCCTCAATGAAACAATGATCACAATCCATCTGCAAAGAGCGATGTGCGGAGTGCAGTCAGCCCTTCCCAGCCAATCACAATGCTATTGCCCCATGCTATTCAACCTATTCATTAACGATATCGGGGAGGGAGTGAATAGCCATGTTTCTGTGTTTGCTGATGATACCAAAATCGGGAGGGTGATAGACACGGGATTAGACACCATAACATTACAGGGGGACCTGGAGGAAATAGGGGAGTGGGCAACTATATGGCAGATGAGGTTTAATGTCGATAAATGTAAAGTAATGCACTTTGGGGTTAAAAATAGGTCAGAAATGGAAAAAGATTTGGTGGTCATTGTAGACCACAGATTGAATAATAGCTTGCAGTGCCAGGCTGCGGTAAACAAAGCGAGCAGAGTACTGTCATTAGGAAGGGGATGTACTGCAGGGACAAGTCTATAATTGTGTCACTTTATAGATCCCTGGTTCGGCATCATCTGGAGTACGCAGTCCAGTTTTGGTCACCAGTCCACAGAAAGGATGTCCTTGAGCTGGAGAGAGTCCAGCGGAGGGCAACCAAACAAATTAAGGGGATGGAGGACCTGAGCTATGAGACAAATACATTTAAACATGTTCACGCTGGAAGTAAGGAGATTAAGGGGGGATATGATTTTCATGTACAAGATGTTCAGTGGTGATAGTAACATCAGCAATAAACTTTTTTACGGTAAACTCCATGACAAAGACGAGAGGCCACCACCTAAAACTGGTGGAGAAAAGATTTCAGCACAAGGGGCGAAGGGGGTTCTTCTTAGTTAGAGCGGTTAGGGTCTGGAACTCGCTGCCACAAGCAGTGATTTAAGCTAAGGCCTTGTTCACACCAAATGCAGACCAGATCTGCATGAGTTTCTGCACACGCAGTGCAGTGTGTTTTGCCGCGTTCAGTTTAAAATGGGCTTTCAGTGCGTTTGTAAGCATTTTTGATGCGTTTGAATGCATTCAAAAGCGTTCCAGAGCAGGTAAAATAGGGCTTGCTGCGTTTTTTTTTTACATGATCTGGAACTGAATGCTGCGGTGTGAACTAGAGCCCAAAATACCATTGGAATACATTGGACGCAGTTTTGATCCGGTCTGTAACTGCTCTGCTCCTGGAACGCGCTTGGTGTGAACAAGCCCTAAGAGTGTTGAATCATTCAAAAAGCTTTTGGACGATTTGCTCAGAGACCATAACATACAGGGGTACAGCTACACTTAACAACAAGATCACACATGGACTCATTACACACGCAAACACCTGCAAAATCACATACATACACGCAATAGGTTGGACTTGATGGACTTGAGTCTTTGTTCAACCTCAAATACTATGTACTATGTAACAATGCTGGTTTCTTTTCTTTTTTCTGCGTTAGTATATTGATTGACATTTACCGATTGGCTGCTGTGCTTTACGGCATCTTACGCCATCACTCTTAGCAAAAGCGTTTACAACCATTTTAAAATCTGTCAGGAATTGCGAAAAGGAATGAGGTGACCCCGTGACCTGCCGTGCCAGACACCAGCAATGATGGCATCAGGAAATGGTAATGGCTGCAAACCGTGCCAGACACAAGACATCACCGCATCCCATAGAGCAGTCCAAGGAACAGGCGCGGACGCCTTAAAGGGCAACTCCAGGGGTGATCTTTTTTTTTTATATGGGTCAGCTTGGCTCGTTGTGAGCATTCATATGTGATATCCTGAATATCGCTGTAGTGGTCCGAGCTACATACAGTGATAGCCGCGATCTACCAGGTGCTGCTACACCCTGCACACCGAGGACAGGAAGTCACTTACTCCACACCGACACCATTCAGAGTTTTTTCTCAATGAATACAAGCCATTGTCTAATTGGGTGAGGTGGAGAGGAGGGGCAGATGATGTCACGATCTCCACCCCGTCCAATCAGAGAGCACCTTGTATTCATAGAAGATACAAGGCGATTCCCTGAATGATGGCGGTGTTGAGCAACTCCTTGTGCTCAATGTGCAGAGAGGAAGCCTCTGGGGCCGCACCTGGAAGATCGTGGCTATCACTGTACATAACAGGTCAGACTACTACATCAACATTCAGCATCCCTGGATCTCTACAAGGCCCCATTCACACTTCACGATGTGTGAGGGGGACATTCACTTTAATTTCCTGTCCCATAGACGCAACAGGAAGAAAGTGAAAATCTCTCCAAAGTGAAGGAAATCCTTTCTCAGACAGTTGTCACCAGAACAGCTTTTTAAGGCCTGATGAAGGGGGATACTGAGGACCTTCAAAACATGTTCCATTCTATTGAACTTTATAAATAAAATACCATATTGGACTCTACTTCAAGCAGTGCCCCCCCCTTTTAGTCCTATATTTGGTTCCACCTGAGACCCCCTATTCTGATAGAAAGGGGTCACTTGTTTTGAGCGGTAGCAGCTCCTCCAAGAATGATTGACACTTTAAAGAAGAGAACTATTAACAAATCTCCGAGTCACCGGAACAGGTGTCTCCATTGGAAGATTTCCACTCACTTCCTGTTCCAGTGGCAAAGCGGTAAGCGCTATTCGCCATCACTTTCATTCTCAGTGACAGTGGTCACCAGCACGTATAGAGAGGATGAATCTCCCCAGCGGGGACACAGACAAAAACCTGACGGAGGTTGTAATTATTCCACAAATGTTTCGGTTTTGGATACATGTTAATGTCGTCTTCTCCTGGAGTATTTTTCTGTGATTTGTGTACATTTATTAAACAGTGAACGTGACTGTCAACTAAAAGGGGAATTTTCCTGGAACCTGTGTTTTAAATGTCAGTGGCTGATTCACCTGCAGTGAATGTTTGATGAAAGTCACATTCAGTATGACTTTTTTTTTCCTGTCGCTGAACATGCGCAGACCTGACCGTTACTGAAAAGACACAATGGAGATTTTCTAGAAGGTTGGATACTTTTCAGAGCCGTGTCACTGTGAGCAACTGGTTCTCCTCAACTAGATTCTCCCGGAAAAGAAGTTTTGGGTAAGGGAGAGGAAGGAGGGGGGTCATAAAAAATAGGTTTAAAAATAGTTTTCCTTTAATGGGAACCTCCACGGTTTGCGAGTCGCAGCTCCGCCTCCACGCAAACTTTTCCTGTAATTAATACAAAGAGCGTTAAACCTGTGGCAGGCAGAATTTACTATTTGACAGTCAAATATTGAAAGGTCATTTTTGATTGGTTCCTTCAGGTTATAGGGCTCTGCTGTGGTGGACACGGGTGGACAGTGGAGCCCGGGAAACTGGTGGAGGGGGTGGTGGGGGGATTTGACACGCCGCAGCAGCGTACAAGCGATCCAACGCCTATACAGATGCCGGATCGCTTGTAAACAGCAATTGCCGGCTGTTTAGAACGGTACCAAGAACACGGCAGCAGCAGTTCTTGGTATAACCACTTCCAGCGGAGGACGTACATTTACGTGAACCCACTGGAAGTGGTTAATGTCAATTCAGAAGTCTAACCACTGGTGATCCCACCATGAATGTCCTTGCTTGCTTGGTCACTTCCTGTTATAGGGTGACAACGTTCTGTCCATACCTCTTAATTGTGCTACTGTGTTGTCACCCTGTCACATGGGGTTCCCATGGAGACTACAAGTTGCCATTTTCACATACATTACGCAGTCATGTGGGCGGAGCCTGCTTTATTTGCTTTATATCTAATGAGAAAAAAATGTAAATGGATTTGTTGTGCCTGCAGCTCTAGGTCCCCATTCACGCCCTACGTTTACAAAACGTGCACCAAACGCTGAAAATCCTTGCGGTGGCATTTCTAGTTAATGGCTCCCCAAACTCGGCCCAGGAAACGTCATAGCTGTGGTGTGAATGGGGACGTTTGTGCGTGTTCTCATGTGCAGGGAAAACGCATGGAACGCCCCTAACAAAGGTAATCCCCAGAACAGGAAGTAAAGGGCAAGTTCTCTAAGAGCAACACATGAAGTAAAATGCTTTTTCTTAATGGTTCCGTAGGACAGGGATGGCAAACTCCAGCTCTCCAGTGTTGTGGAACTACAAATCCCATGAGGCATTGCAAGATTCTCACAGCCACAGGTGTGACTCCTTGAGACAGATGCATGATGGGATTTGCAGTTTCCCCACAGCTGGAAGGCTGCAATTTGCCCCTACCTGGCGTAGGGGAATGGCAGCTTTTTCTAGTTTCGGGGTATGCATAGGCAGGGCCTGGGGTCATCCTGTTGGTTTTATTATCCAATAGTATTGCAGTGGTGTTTGTACAGAGTGTCTGCATTCCAAGCCGCCACATTCCCCCAGGTTCCTGGTTTTTAATGCAAATACTGTAAATAGATTGGAGTGCCACACCAAGAGTTTATAGTCCACCTACATAATGATTCCAATGTAAAATCAGAAGACTATGCAAGAAATCCAGCGCGTTTCGGGGGCCAAAACATCCTCTTCATCAGGGCTAAGGGAAAACAAGACAAAGATACAATATCCTTTTAGCCCTGATGAAGGGGATGAGTTGTGGCCCCCGAAACGCGTTGGTTTTCTTGTACAGCCTTCCACCTGATTTTACATTGGAATACATTTGTAGCTGAGCTATTATCTTGTGGTGCTCTAATCTCACATTCATTTACTAGATTTTAAAGTGCAACTGAAGCCAAAACCTTTTGTAGTTGTGGATGGAGTGGAGAGGGATTACAACCCCTGTCAGGTTTTTATTGCTGTCTGTGTTCCCGATAGGGAGATTCGCCCTCTCAATTCATCACTGAAAGTATCTCCACCATAGGCTGTAGCGTCCTGGGTTCTGAGACTCACTAAATTCAGGAATACTGCAGAAGCCCCCCTGTATCTCCACCATAGGCTGTAGCGTCCAGGGTTCTGAGACTCACTAAATTCAGGAATACTGCAGAAGCCCCCCTGTATCTCCACCATAGGCTGTAGCGTCCAGGGTTCTGAGACTCACT